AAACAGAGCGCGCCGGCCTCGCCTCCGGTGATTGGCCGGTCCTCTTGGGCCGTCCAATCACCTGAGGGGAGGTGCTTCGGCGAGGAGGACGCGCTGGACACGGCCGCGGCATAAACAGAGCGCGCGCGGGGCACAACAACGGCACAAACAGAGCACGCCCACCTCGCCGCCGGCACTCGCGCATGTCGCTCACCTCGCCACGGCACCTCGCCGACGGTGATTGGCCGGTCCTCTCGGGCCGTCCAAACACCGGCGGGGAGGTGCTGCGGCGAGGTGAGCCACGTGCGCAAGCACAGGCCGCGAGGTGGGCGCGCGCGGGGCACGACAACGGCACAGACAGAGCAGGCCCACCTCGCCGCCGGCACTCGCGCACGTCGCTCATCTCGCCGCAGCACCTCGCCGCCGGTGATTGGACGGCCCGAGAGGACCGGCCAATCATCGGAGGGGAGGTGCTGGGGTGAGGTGCGCCACGTGCGCAAGAACCGGCCGCGAGGTGGGCCACGTGCGCAAGAACGGACGGCGAGGGGTCGACTCACTTGAATACCAGGGTCGACGGTGACGCCGTACGCGGCCTCCGGATCTTGGGCCGCCATCGGGATGGAGGCGCGTCGAAGCAGGGCCTCCAAGAAACGCGGCGGCGCGTCGAAGGAGGGCCTCCAAGAAACGCGGCGGCGCGTCGAAGCAGGGCTTCCAACAACGCGGCGGCGGGGCGGGGGCGGAGAAGGCACCCGCCAAGAAACTGGCGCGGCGGAACCGGCGCCCTCCAAGAACCGAGGTGGCGGAGATGCCGTCCGCCGCGGAGCCTGCGGGGCGGCGGGGCGGGGGCGGAGAAGGCGCCCGCCAAGAAACCGGCGCGGCGGAACCGGCGCCCTCCAAGAACCGAGGTGGCGGAGATGCCGTCCGCCGCGGAGCCTGCGGGGCGGCGGGGATTCGTCGGCGAGCCCGTACGGAGCGGGGGGCTGGATGGCGGGCGGCTCGCAGGGGCTCAGGGCGCGTGAGCGGGGAACGGGTGGAGTCGGCGGCAAGGAACGGAGGATGTGATGGGGTTTCGAAGCAGGGGGGTTTATATATGTTTGGTTTCGGCGCTTCGCCCAACGGCTAGGGTGGCCTGGTGTTGGCTTCCTGCTGCTAATTACATCTTCGGCACACTTTGATACACAAAATTCCACTAATTGATTGCTCTCCAGTGCAAATTAACTCTGCATCAGCCACGCAGGATGCCAGGTCAGCTCGAGGCACTTGGCCGTCACCCAAACATTTGCCAAAAAAACCTCCGATGCATGCTGAAATTACTTCACACGGTCCCTGACGTTGGAGAAACAAACCCCCCATCTAACATATAAAGCCTCAAGAAGTGCTAGGCACAACCGATGCCTTGACCGCACGGCACCACGCGAGGAAAAAAACCACCGCACCGCGCCCGCGCGTGGGGGGCGCAGCGCACCACGCGAGGGAAAAAAGCACCGCGCCCGTCCGCTTTCTCCTCCGTCCCCGTTCCCTCGGTCTCCAACCTTAAATCTTTCCCCCCTACAGGCGCCTTCCCAAGCTCCTCATCCCCTCCACTCCCTCGACAATGGTGGCGGCGGCGCCCTCTGGTGGCGGAGGAGGAGGGGGGAGATGGTGGCGGCGGCGCCCTCTAGTGGCGGAGGAGGGGGGAGATGGTGGCGCGGCGGCGACCTTCCCCTCACGCATCCCATCCCCCCTCGTCATCCCGGATCCCACCGGACCCGAGGCGTGCGGGCGCGGCGGTGACCTGCAAGGGAAGGGCGACACTCGAATCGATCCAGCCATGGATCGGTCCCTGCGGGAGAAAGAGAAAATGAGGGCCTCCGTGTTCAACAAGAGGAGCCGGGGTTGCTGATCCGGCCGGCCCAGATCCACACGCCTCCTCCTTCCGCCACCTCGCCCCACCAACTTCCAGCATTGTGGATCCGCCGAGGATGGAGGGCAGCAAGTGAGAGGGAGCAGGAGAAGAGGTGAATCGAGGGAGTGAAAGGAGGATCTCACACGGGAAGAGGAAGAAGGAGTCTGGTAGTGTATCCTCGTCTCATCCCTGGCTGCAGCTCTTCTGATGCCATGGCACCAGTGGTGGCTCCTCGATGGAGCGCCTCCTTCCATGACGGCACCACCAGTGGCTCTTGCTCGACGCCACGATACACAACACCGAGGTAAGCTCGACTCCCTTTCTCCCCTCTCTCAATTGATAGTTAGTGATTTTATTCTCTCCTTTCCATCTCATGATGGATTCCTTCTTCCAAGACGAATTAGTAACTTTAGCACCAAATATGAAGTTATTTGGACAAAGAAAAGAGCATATGGCAAAATTCTAGGCAATCCCTTGCTAGCATTTGTCTCTCTGAACTGTTGTTGGTTGATAGACCAATAACCATGGCGATTTGCACTTACATATGCATTCTGCCTATGTTTTTGGGGTGGAATTTTGCCTTCTCTTAGGTTGTGTTCTGCCAGGTATAAGTTTGCCTGCAAATTGTTTGTGCTAATGTATGTAAGAGCTGTTGTACTACACCTATATTCAAAGTGATGTAAACAAAAACAAATTTCTACCATGAACAAAACAAATTTTCCTGGAAAGAGTTGTTATACAGTAGACCTATATCCATGCTGGATGTTAATAATGTGTTTTGTGTTAGTCAAATTGTTGAAAGCTGGAGTTGGGTCGAGGAGCCTGCCTCCGCCTTCGCCATTGCCTGAGAAAAGCAACACCGGTGTTGGGTGTTCCTGTGCAGAGTGTGTGAGTTAGTGATTTTGTTGTCTTCTTTCCATCTCATGATGTGATTCTTCTTTAAGATGAACTAGTAACTTTGTGTGGAGGTGGCAACAGAACCTGCTGGTTGTTGTAATGCCCACCTAAAAGAGATTTAACTGCTTACAAAATTATTTTTCTTCTTGGCTGTTTTGCAGATGATGAGGTATGGCATGGAATGGTTGGATTTTGAGTGGTAGGTGATCCATATGCCGGCAGTGATAGCGGCCATCACTGGATACAACAATCCAGCGGTTGTCTCCGTTGTGCTCCTATCCTCCCCACCTCCCTTAGACGCTTAATGTTCGGAAAACTAATGATTTGGTTCTCAGATGTTCATACATAATAATCTAGGTTGTTATTGAGCTCCGCGGCTATCCTTAGATTGGCATTTCGGCATCGGCACACTTTACTCGAATCTATACTGCAAGCCCCAGGTGAATACATTGTCTATTTGTTTTTTCGTCATGAATGCTAATAACTTGTATCATTTCTACACTGATATATGTACTCATCTCTTCTGAATCTGTTCAATTAAGCTGCAACTCGTGTGCGAGAGGCTTGGTTTATACAGTAGAGAGATCATAGAAGCTTAACGCTGCCAATTAGGTGTAGTACAAATATGTCTTCTAAGTTTCACAAGCACTGACCCTCGAGTATGATGCTCTCCTCCTGCTTATATGAACTTTCTGGTGCAGAAATAGAGCTATTGCTTGATGACATAATTTATGTGTTAAGGATTCTGCTTAAGTAAGCTTCAGCTCATGTGCGAGAGGCTTGGTTTGTGCAGAGATCCTCTCGGTAAGTTGGTTACAAAATATGCTTGAAGATTGCTTCACACAGAGATTGCCTGGGATACTAAAATAGTTAGGAGCTTCTGATTGGACTCTTCAAGCAATAGTGTTGTTGATATATTAATTATTAGATTATGTTACTAGAGTATTAGAAGAACTTCCTGATATATGTATTTATAGGATTTTTCTCATACTTGATGAATTGATGGCTAGGCACTATACTGTGCATAAGTAAAATTTCCAGTTTTTCTTTTCGTAGTTGCAGCAGTTATTCTGTACAAACTGCTTCCTCTCTTATTGGTGACTTGAAGTTAGAAGAGAAGATTTGGTTTTCTTTTCTTAGGTTTTGACAAAGTAGGCGAGGCCAACAAAACTGCTGCACCAGAGTAAACCTGTGCTCCACCAGCCGAGCTGTATATACACATCTTTTCATTCTGATCTGTTTTGTTTTGCGATTCAGGCCACCCCTAATGCTCAGGCTGATGCTTCTTCGCTTGATGCTGAAGAAAAGGATGATCAGATTCAGACGCCCAAGAACAACAGGTGCTGGTGCTGCGTCTTCTCTTATATGTTTATCTATGTACTTTCAATTCATATAGTCATTCAAATTGTCTATATACACATCTTGAAATTAAGAAACTCCGATGGTTCAAAGGGAGTTGGGCCAGGGAAGAAATCAAAGCAGTGACTGCCCTGCACTAACTGTGCAAGGATCAAAAGCATATAGGTGTAGCAATAAATTCCCCTCTGATGCTCAAGTTAAATTTCTTCACTGAAGATATGGTTGGAAGTTATGTTTTGAGTTTGATTCTTTAAACTACATGCCAATTTGCATTTTAATCTCTTTATTTATTTTCTTACTACAGTAGCACACTTGCCTAAATCCCACATAAGACTGAATGGTACTCTGCCATGGTGTTTAATCTCAGTAATGTGTCTTGTTTTATTTTGTCCACGGTGACTGTGGATGTGTTCTCGGCTTTGCCGACAGTAAAAAGAAGGCATACAAAACATTAAATTTTTGGCTTGGTTGAATGCCGCATTTAATTGTCGCTTATGTATTCCAAGTTATTCAATTCTCACTGAGCTTTCCTTTGCTAAAGAAATTTAATACGCAATATTTTTAACATGTGAGGAGGCGAGAGAAGAAAAGAGGGGTTGTTAGGTCAGACTTTGGTGCGTCTCTGGTCAGAAATGGCTGGATCCGCCCGAAGCTCTTCCAAACAGTGTAGTGTAGATTCGCTGACCAGTACAACATCTAAACCTTCACTACTCTAGCTTCTTCTTACATTTCTTAATATCAACAAATAAGGTGGTCACAATATATACTTGAAGATTGCATCCCGAGCCAGCTCGGGCCGCTGCTACCTCTTCCTCGCCGCCCAACAGGTCGCCGTGCTGGGGGAGCAGGGTAGCATCGGGTCCACAGGCACTCTAAAGCCGAGTAAAATCCTTGCATTCGTATTATTCACTTTCAGTATGCAAACTTCTCTTTCCAAGTTTGAGAGAACAAGAAGCCAGCGTCGAGGAAGCCTTGGGGTGTGAAAAGCATAGTAACAATATATCTGGGCTGCGACGTATATTGTTATGAAACTTTGCTGTAATTACGATTTCCTATTATAGTTCATATGAAGAATTGTTTGCTGCTTTTACACACACGGTTCCCCATAGATTCCAGTGAATCTAAAGGTGACCCGTCTACCACAATCTGTGCGTCAACATAGTATTGGCACCAAGGCCTCACTGTCACCTCCACCGAATCCTTCCACCACAAAGCTAAACCTCTACTGTTGCCATTGCAATTAAAAAGCAACCCCATGTCTGAACCCTAGGCTCCATTTCAGTCTCTCCATAGCACGTGAGGTCTTTTTTTGTTTCTGATAAGAATACCACCGCTGGGTTGTATGACCTAATCAGGTCCCTTAGTTCGCCCACTGTCGGGTCCAACCCCAACCCCCGACAGTTCCAGGCTAGGAAATTCATTGCTCCCGGCGGCCCCCCGTCCTGGCAGGGTCCGCCGATGAATCATTGTTCTCTTCAATACGGTCAAACACGGATGAGGTTATCTTCCTCGTGTCGCGAACAAAAGTATCGATTCCTACCTGTCTATCCAGATCACCCTTAGCTACCCAGTGAAGTTTCGGTCTCCTTTTCCTCTCCAACTGAGCAACATGTCTTGGGCTGCTAGGAGATCGCCTTTCCACATAATGCTCAGACCTCGGTTTCCTAACATAGTACCCTTGTCTGCGCTCCCTCCCCCTGAATTGGCTCGATGATCCAGCATTCTCATGGCCCCACTGGCCATACTGCTTGTACCTGAACCTCAGTTCGGCCTGCTTCTCTTGTTGCCTCTGTCGGAGCTCATACCTCATATCTCTTTCTCTCTTCTGCTCAATCTCATCCCGCAGATCCCTCTCGGGTGTTATCTCCACCTGTTGCTTCTGCTTGTTTGGGTTACCGGTTCCCTCATTCCCCCCTTGCCCTCCTCGCCAGTGCGGGATACGTCCGGGGTGGTGAACTCATTATGCAGGTTCCTCTTTGTAGGGAGATCATGGACTATGCCCGCCTTCCTCCTATTTTGTTCTCCCTCACTTGACCTGACACTTCCAAAGCTATTTGCACTACTCGAGGGGCCTCTGTGTGATACTTCTTTTGTCCCCCAAGAACGACCTGGGGATGCCCGGAGCCATTCCCCCCATTGCTGATCCGGATCCGCCGCCGGGACACAACCCTTCTCGCCATGCACCAGCCTTCCACACTCGAAGCAGAAGTGCGCATGAGTGCTTTTTGATTGTTGCCTGGGCCTTTCTGATTGTTCTTCCTCTTCTCCGGCAACGAAGCGCACCGCCGACGAGTGATGTCTAGATCAACTTTGGCCTCCCGCCAATCATGGCCGCAATACGGTCCAGTGCCGTTGAAAGGATGCCCCGATTTCCCATGCATGGAGCCTCTGAAGCATTTGACTTGTGTGAAGGAGGAAAATGGCAACCACGGGCGCGAGTTCGTCAAATGATTGAGTAGGCCACAGCCGGGGCAGGTTAGATTCGTGTACCGCACCAAGCAGCTTATCTAAATTCTCTAGATTTATTTATTTTTCCGTTGAATTTGGGCGGTAGATCTGATCTAGGGTTCATGCCGTCGTCGACCCCTGTTTAAATGTGGACATTTCAAGTGGCTCGATGAGTACGTTGAGAGGTTGAAAATGCAGGCTTCAACACAAGAGCTCAATTTCAATTTTGGGGGGAAGCTTGGTGTGGAACACGCCTCACATTTGGTGGAAAGAGCCGATCCGATGATGGGAAG